TGCGTTCCTGACGATTCAGGTCTTCTTGGTTGCAGGAGCTGGAGCCGCTGGAGATCAAAGACGTGCTGCGATGTAAGTTCTAGTCTTTCCCCTTCGATCCCCTCTTCCATGCTTCTGCTCCACTGTTCCAATTTTTGCCTTCTTGTGTTCCCCTTCTACTACTAGTTTATTATTAGTATACATGTATATATGGTAGCCGAAATCCACTCTTTGATACTGATGTACTGAGCAGTAGCAGTAGTAGTTCAATTTACTAGTATATCGTGGCCCGTTATTTATGCCGTGGTCTGATTAGTTGGAACTGCTGTACTGATGTGTTGGGGATTGATTCCCTGAGCTCCTTGTTTTATGTTGACATTTGCACTGCAAAAAGAAAAACTGAAGTAATTGCGTTCCTCTCTGCAATTAATCTTCAAACGGACCAGTTATAACAAACGTGTCTGCTATTCGTTTTAGTGTGGTTCTCTTTACTGTGTTCCTACTGATTATTATGTATGAATGTGTTGCAGGCATCTTGCATACAATATTCTTTCATCGAACCCTCACTCTTGTTCGGCCCAAGGATGTCGACTGCGACCTCTTTGAGATCACATATGTGAGTATTGCTGAATAACTAGCTGCATTAACTCCATCTCCTCCATATATTTGGTGTTGCAGACAATATTACTTAGCACCAAGATATATGCTGGTGTGCCCCACGATATTGTTTGACCTGCTCCAACTAAAAGAACCATCTTTGATGTTACTTGTGTTTGTGTGGTCAGGTTCAATGTGGACTTGCAGAACTAGAAAAGGAGGTCGATGAAAAGATCAACCAGTTCATTGCTTGGGCTGAAAAGCATCCAAATCGGAAAAGCCAGGTTGTTCGATAAGGCTGAACAACATATTTCTACTATTTGCATGTTTTTTTTTATGATTTGTCGTTTTAACACATGGTAGCTGAATATCAGGTGTGCCTCTCGTTCTTCGATGAGAAGAACAAGCACCCAGGCTGGTTCAGCAGCAAGACTGAGAGGGTTTACTGGGAACAATGGTTCATCAATTTGCATGTCACAAGCCCTAAAGGACAAGGCAAATCACGTGGCTCCAAAGCGCCGGCGAATACTAAAGGTAGTTCCATTTTTATTGACAGGGTCTCTTTCATGGCTCCTCGCTAGATCTCAAACCTAGGTCGAGGGTGTGTGTCTCCCTGCTCTCCGCCACTTCGGACTCATAGGAATAGTTTTGCTAATTATGTCATCTTCAGGATGGTATTGCTTATGAGCATGTAACAAATCAGTTATAACTCGTCGTTAACTTGTGATGATTTGTGCCCTCAGGACAAGCATTGGAAGAGACCAGCTCAAGACGTGATGCGCTGAGCTTGCTGATCCAAGAAGTCCTGTTCCAGATCATTAACTACGCCAATGAGAAAAAAGACCATATTCCTCCAATCTCTGATAGAATATTCAATCATGAGATTTTGGTCCCCAGGTGCGTTCAGTTTCATTCTTGACTATTTTAACCGGCAACCTTCTTTGATACCGAGTAGCCTCTGCAAGTTTGTTGGGATTATTTCATCACTATCTGAATCTCCAGGTGACACCTTTTCCTTGGACGTGTGTTCACAGCTCTTCTGATTCTGTATTCGGGTGGAACGCCGACGTTCTTCGGAGGGCATTGAGTAGTGGACATTCATACTCACTGAACTGAAGATCTTTGTTAGAAACTGCACTAAACGAAGATGTTGGTATCGGTGTGCTACCTTTCGCAGTGATAAGACGTTGCCCCTTTCTCACCTCTCCGTTGATCGTTTGGTTATAAGACGTTGTCAGAGCTGCTGACTCATGGAAGCAATGCTGTGTACAGAATAATCTAGAACTGCCAGTGAACTGACTCTGTTACCCATCCAATCATGTAATTCCTACTTGTTTAGTTGTAAATATTTCTCTTGACAATCTGTGTCCAAAAATTATTACCATGTTATTATGCAGATGTGAAAAACATGTGTACTCCGGATGTTATGTGCAGTGGTGTTTATTCAGTATTCTGACATAAGGAAGAAAACTGGAGTAGGAAGCTGTTTTGACTGATTATATTGCCACTTTTTAGATTGGACAAAACACATTTTTCATATGGAAATGTTGTTCGGAGGTAGGAAGATGGAGAGAGTATATCATGTGCACCTTGAGTTTTTTCTGCAAAACGGTGCACCAAACTAAAAAATACATGTTCAAACTTTCCCAAAGAAATATGAAGATAATTAAGTACTTAGACGTAGCATATACTTGTCATCTCACAAAAAAAATTGTTTATAAGTTCAGCTCAACTTCAGAAACAAAAGTAATAAAACATTTAACTGTACAAAAATAATAAATTTAGCTAATGTAGTGTAAACGGGCCAATTCATAGCCCACTTGAAATTAAGAATAATAATTAAACATTAATAGACTGATTTGTCATTTCTGCTTCTTATAGATGTCGAATTAATTTATAATTGAAATTTAATGGCATGACAAATATACATTGTGTTTTATATAATTTTAGGTTTTTGTGAACTTCTTGTCATAATTGTACAACGCCCGGTTGCACAACTCTCGATGCACAGGATAATGTAGCCTAGTTGGATTTCTAGACCCTTCAAAGTTGTGCCAAGAAATAACAATAAGAAATTAGCTTAGGTAAAAGATAGGGGAAATCCATACCACAAACAGGGTAACTCTTTGATTGTTCAACTAAATAAAACAAGAGTTGCAAGAGTCTGCATACTTATTGGCTTAAAACACATACGAAACTGCTCCATGCACGATCCTTGTGCCCGACGTATGTGTGACAGAAAATTCAGCGGCCGGTGCTCTTTCCATCAGACGTATGTCTGGCCAGATTTCATTCATCATGCGTCAATCGTCTGTTTATGTCGTGCGTATAGCACGACTCAAACACATACACACAAGAGGAAAGAAAAAAAAAAGAAGTCCAAGAAACTAGCATTAATATTGCAAATTGCAACACAACGCATCGAAGGACCCCCAAGAAAATGAAAGAAAATACAAACAACTCCTTCCTTTTTGCACACAGGAGCCCAAGAAATGACATAGTAAACACACACTACTAGGGAAAACCTTATACACAGAAATTTATCAATAGCGCTTTTTAAAAGGCAGCGCTGCTATTTAGCACTAGCGCTTGGGCAAAAAGAGCGCTGCTATTACGCACATAGCAGTAGTGCTATAGTTATAAAACACACTACTACTATAATTGCCAGAATGTTGCCGGCAGGCTAGGTATACTAGTAACGCTCATACGTAAAAAGCGCTACTGCTATTATACTTAGCAATAGCGTTTTCCTCCAACCAGTGCTACAGCTAAATTCAGTCCCCTCCTATGACCAAAGTTTAGTCCCACTTTGTTCCGCGAACAGAATGTTACCACCTTAAATATGGTGCTTCTCAAACTATCACAACCACTTGGTCTTCATTGTACTCTATGTGTAGGATTTGTGGCAATATGAATCTTCACCGGGACAATTTAGATTCTACACAAAAAGATCATTGATGACCAATGTTTTTTTTAATTTTGATGCTTTTTTACATGCTTAGCCTTAGTAGAAGCGCTTGTTCTATAAAACCGATACTGCTAATGATCATAGTAGTAGCGCTGGTTCCCTTAACGCGCTACTGTCATGGAGCTTAGCAGTAGCGGTGGTTACGAACCAACGCTACTACTATGGGCACCTTATGCACACCCCGGCCCGCGCACATCCTCATCCCCCCCCCCCTCACAATCTCACTCGCTCACTCCCCGCGTGCCGTCACCCGTCGTCAC